TGAGACGAATTTGGTTGAGGGGTCGAGTTATGACCCCAGTGAGGTTTATTGAGTGTAAACCTAGTACTGCATATGCATCTATGTGTGATCCTTTCTACATGTGTGTGATTGTCTAAATTTTGTTGCATGATTATCTGCTACATTTCAATGTGTTTGATATGTGCATTTACATGAATTTGAGACATTAGGATTACTTGGTGTAATTGCTTGCATACATAGTGGGTTAGGATGCATTAGCAGTGTGTTGTGTGTCTTTTGGTGAGGTGGAGTATAGTTGCCTAAGGGTACATGGTGGTTTGTACCGAGGGATGTAGAGTGTGACATTTGGATCACGAGTGGAGATGTGATCAAATGTCTAGAATCCTTTATCTGGAAAGAGACCCTGATCAGGTGGAGTGTGAGAGAGGCACTTCTATCACTTCTGTTAGGTGGAGACCCATTATCCACGTAGGTTGGGAGAAGTGATGTGGAGATAGAGGATTATCCCATGGACTTAGGATCTATTGTGACTTGCCAGTTAGACATGAGTTGAGTGATCTGTCTAGTGAGTGTGGTGGGCGATGAGAGGAGATATGTGTTCTCGAGGTGTGAGCAACACGGAATGGGATAGGATAAGTGTGGTGAGGTCTTTTCTTAGGGTCATTTATGCATGTGTTGCATATGTGATTGACCGTGGTTTGATTGACTTGGTGTTAATCTATGGTTCTATGTGAACGTGTTTTCTGAAAAGATCTGTGTGTGTTATCCTATAATATATCGTCATCGCATGTGTATTCGCTCTTGATTGTTTACTGTTAAATATTTGCTTCTACTTGGGTGTTTTTGACCTTAGCCCCAGTGAGTACATGGAGCGGGTATGGTATGTGTTTCAAGTTGGAAACACGAGGTAAGGTCTGTGATCCAATTTTATTGGCTACCTTGATATGCAAGTGTTAACTGTGTGTTTTGATTGCTTGCAGATTTATTGGGCATCAAGGTGAAGATTTGTTGGGTTTTTGATACCCAATAAATCCCGGGCTATGATGTTAACGTGGGTTAATATTATTTCATAGGTATAGGCCGATGAATGAAATAAGTCCAACAACCAAATCCATGAGCTACACCCGGCCCAATTGTATTACTTATGGATGACTTGAATCTTGGCCCGTTTACCCCTTTAATGGTCCAACTTAAAGCCTAACCCTAGAGTATATATATAAATATAACCCTAGCCTCTTTGTGATGATGATTGTGTGATTTTGAGAGAAGAAACTAGTGAATCCCGGCTGCCCACCTTTTGTGTGAGAAAAAGGTGTCCAGAAGTGTCCAAAACGCTTGTATAACATGTGCAATTGGTAGTTTTTTCATAGTATACATTTGTGGTGTCTTCTCCTAGCCTTTGTGGCGATAAATCATCATCCCTTCTTGTCCTACGTGGGTAAGATTGTATAGCAACTAAGGTGAATCAATTGGTTGTGGTTTGGAGCCGTTTGGATTGGTTGTTGGTAGAGAAAGGTACGTTAGACTGAGCCTGGAAAACCACCGTTTAAAGATCATTTTGAGAGAGCTTCTGCAACAGTAACTAACTATAAGAACTTTTTAAATGCAGGTCTTCCATTTGTTTGAGCCCTATTTTTCCAAAAATTAATTTTTTGAAAACTCATTTTCAACCACACATTCTCCAATAGAATAATTTTTCACGTAGATAAAAAACTATTTCTTACATTCTCCAAAAAAACACTATTCCAAAATACATTTTCCCCCCAAAATGGGTATCAAACAAGGGCATTTGTTGCTGAGTGATTAATGATTCACCTTGCTATTTACCAGGAGCATGAATTGGAAGACGAAGATGCTGTACAAATCATTAAAAAGGTGTAGAAGTGAAAGTTGAGGAAAATATTGCAACATGATGCATGAATGGAATTTCTAGCATAGAAGTTTTTTTACTTGTGCTAGGCTTTGTAGTAAGCTACAGCGTGTCATCTCCTATGGTCGGCTTAAGCTATAGGTAATAGATAGAGTTAAATGGAGATATCGGGGCTAGAAGTGAATTACAACTTGGGTCAATCTGTGGATCGACGTGTAGTTAACTCATTTTATGGTTGATGAGGGATATGATTTTATTTAAGAATATAATAAAAGAGATCAACCATCGAATTTTGGTCTGTGTACCTACGTCGATGGATAATCTTTAAACATTTTACAAGTATGAAATATCCTTTTTCCGAATATAGAGTTGTTTTGAAAGCCAGTTGCATTTATCTATACTTGTATTTTCAACACGGTATTTGACATGTCAATTGTATTCAATTTTTATGAAGATTAGCTGCATGAACCATGCTACAAGTACATAATTTTTTGATAGGAAAACTTTACAGACAACACACGGTACGATATCATTGAAAGATGAGAAAAAAAAATGTCCACTTAAATTTTGCCACATCAGTATCGGTACAAATTCTATTAAATTTTTATGTACTTATGACTTTATTGTAGCTGCATTTGTTACATGTATTCTAATTTACATTATTTGTCACATAACGCGTCTAAATTTTGACAGCGATCCAAGTCAGGTTGAGATGTTATTCTAATTTTTGACGTTAATTCAAGTCGAGTTGAGAAGTTTAACTTCATAAAATAGTGCAATTTTCTCTGAACTTTTTGACGTTCTTTTCTTTCTCCCATTTCTCTTTGTATGAACATAGCATGTACCAGTACCACGCTCTTGAACAAACATAGAAATAAAGTAATTAATCTTATTAACTAAGGTGATTATTGTTTATAGCCAAATGACTTCCCTATTTGGACATGTATACAGTGGTGGAGTTAGGATATTTTATTTGGGTGGGCAAAAATTATGTAGCAAAAATTATTATAAATGATATTATTATAAATATTCTCAACGTATTTTCATATTTTAAAAATATCGTATAATTACATCATTATCAATTTCGTTAAATATATTTTCTCAATAGACAAAATATTGTTTTGTTCTATTACAAAATCTTTTCAAAAAATTGCTAGCTAAAACCTTCCAAGAAGTACATGAAGATTGCACAACGATTAGAGATGAAACTTGAATTGTCAATTTCCTTGGCCCTAGCTCCATCGCTACTTACAACTACACCAATAACAAAAAGTACAAGAAGAAAAAGTAAGATAACCCCATAAGTAAACACGGAAAGACAAATATGTTTCATTGAAAGAGAACCATGCTATTAATTCAAATAAAATGTTAGAAAATAAATCAACATAATGCTACCCAGATCTAGATATTTTACAATAACTCCAATTCACAAAAAGCACACATTTCATGTTACAAAATAAAATAAAATAAAATAAAATCGCATATACATATATACCCTTTTTGGCCGGCATTGTCCCAAATCTGGGACTTGACTACCTTATCATCAATTTGGGTGCTTCGAGTGGGGAACTCAACTTAAATGGTCGAATTTGGCTTGAGATTGAACTTATTTCGAGTGAAATTCAATTTGTCGACACTTGAATCGCATATCAGCACCACCTTGAATAAGTAATCGTAGTCGTCTTCCGCTCAATACCATTATTTCATCCTGTTTAGTAATATATATGAATGTATATAGAAGTGAACTTGTATTTATTGACGTTTTCCTTTGAATCTTACCACTTCCAATCTCATGCAATCCTCCCAAAAAAAAATAAAATAAAATAAAATAATTAGAGAATATCAATTTTTTTGGGGGGTCCACTGACCACCCTTGCCCAAGCGTGGCTCCGCCATTGCATGCATATCATATTCAATTTTTATGAAGATTAGATATATTGCTAAGTTTATTTAACTTTATATTAATTGTCGTGTAATGAGAAAGCATGATTCGTTTCAAATTTTTGACATCTGTTCAGATCAATTTAGTCAAGTTGAGAAATAATATCTAACTTCATAATTGAATCAACCCGAATTTTTGGTTCAAATCCATCCAAACTGATTTGACGCAATTCGATTTGGTTGATTTTTCGATATCAAATTATGTAATAGACGTGCTATCTTTTCGTCACTTTTATTCATTACTTTTCATTCATTGCCATTAAAATATCCCTTGGAAAGCTCGTATTTCACTTGTCTAGTTGATGCACCCATATTACCTTTAAATGAGTTATACAATAATTTATTTATTATATTAATGTCCCTTTGTGGACTGTAATACTTATATACCTTGTGTAGCATAATCGCATTTCTAGCATCCAATATACCATCTTGGACCTTTATAGATAATAGAATTGTCTAAAATTTAGTACGAGGTTAGCAACTATTATTGAAAATGGACTAATTAAGGAGCCGTTTGGTATCCATTTTTTTCAAAATGTATTTTTCTCTCTCTTCTTTTCAACCACATATTCTTTATTAAAATAATATTACACGTAAATTAAAAACATTTTCTTATTTTTTTACCACACATTTCTTATCAATTTACTATTCAAAAATGCACTTTTACATAAAAATGGATCCCAAACACCCCCTAACTGAGTAAATGGAAAAAATTTCAGCTCTGAAATATAGAAAATTGTCATCATCAACTCATGAATTCATAATCTTCAGCAAAATTTCATTGGAAGTCACTCAACTTGCAGGTCTATTCCATGTTAGTGATTAAATTTCGAATTTCATCACCAATTAATATTTTTGCTTCAATGTGACCATTTCGTCCAAAATCATGCCAACTGAAGTCGAATTCCACTTGATTGACGAGATGCTAGACGTGGCTTATTAGATGCTAAATTAATAATCGCTAAGCAAATGAATTGAAAGGGAATCATATAAAGGCAAATTTAATATTCTTAATTTACTCAATTTGAATTATTCTCGTTGGCAAAAATGGTCGATATGACGTTCGAAAGTAATTGGTGCATAGTCCATTCATGTGAAGTGACGATAATTGTTGATCGTAGTTATAAACATAATAATTTAATCAAAATTAAATAAATTGAGTAAAGCGGTTGAAATTAAAATTTCCCTATAGCTTTTTATATGATATGAATTGGTATTTCTAGTTCCACAATTTAAGGTCCGAAGACATTGGACTGAAGCATCTTCCATGAACAGAAAAAATAAAAATAAAAAACCATGGAAACCTCAAAACCATTACCCATTTTTCTTCAGTTCTTGTAAAAAAAATTCCCAATTTCATCGCCACTATTTTCAGGTTTGAAACCTCAGATTGAAAAATCAGACCTGTTTCTTTCTCTAGATCTCTCTCTTTCGTGGGCATTCTCCTATTGCTGGTTCTGAAGGTCCGGTCATGGGGGATCCAAGTTCAAGCATGGAGGCGCAACCGTCGGCACCTTCACCGCCAACGCCTCCACCGCCGCCAACCCCTTCATTGTCTCTGGTTCAGCCTTCAACCAAGAAGAAAAACAAACATGCCAGGGTATTTCGTGTTTTCCGTAATGTTTTCCGATCATTTCCGATAATGACACCCGTATGCAAACTCCCCTCCCTCCCCGGCGGCATATTACCTGATGGTCGTTCTGTCACGGGCTCACGCATCACCGGCACACTATTCGGATACCGGAAAGGCCGTGTAAGCCTGTCCATTCAAGAAAACCCTAAGACCCTCCCCACACTGGTGGTCGAGTTGGCCATTCAAACCAATGTGCTGCAAAAGGAAATGAGCCTTGGAATGGTGAGGATCGCCCTGGAATCCGAAAAACGACCCGATAAAGACAAGACGAAGCTCTTGGAGGAGCCATTATGGACAATGTACTGTAATGGAAAGAAATCCGGCTATGGCGTGAAGAGGGAGGCAACGGAGGAGGATTTGAATGTCATGGAAGTTCTCAAGGCAGTGTCGATGGGGGCGGGGGTGTTGCCAGGGAAATCCGAGGCGGAAGGACCGGACGGTGAAATGGCGTACATGAGGGCGTGTTTCGAACGAGTTGTGGGATCCAAAGACTCGGAGACTCTATACATGTTGAGCCCTGATGGGAACAATGGACCTGAATTGAGTATTTTCTTTGTAAGGATTGGTTGATTTTTTGAAAAAAGGTTTAACCCCAACCTTAAGGACTCCCACCGCCTCGTCTCTGAAGATCGTTAAGGAGGTAAATCGTGAGATGTGCTATAGTAGGACAGGGAACAACAGCTTGCCCGTACACTGGTGCTCACAAAGAGTCCAATTTCATATATAAGGAATCAAACCTTCATATTGCGGCTTCTCGGAATAGGTTAATTTTTTAATTCTATGCCAAGGTTGAGTAGTGTTAATTTATAGATACATATTTTATGTAGACGAAATATTGAAAAAAATAAATATATAATTTATTTATCCAGATTAATTTAAGGGCTTTCTAATTTGTTCTTAATTTCTTTTTTTCTTTTAGAATCAAGATTAGCGATATGATGTATTTATTATTATTTTTTTTTTTGCATGGACTCTTACTAATTTATATTTGATGGAAAACCTCGAATCACTAGCTAATATTTTTTTTTCAAAAATTTTGGAAACCTAAGAAAATGGTCTTACCTTTATTGATCTACTTTAACAAGATATACTAATTACGAAGAAGATTTTGGATGAAATGGAGATCCTCGAGACGATGTTGATGGTACCGGGTTGTTTTTTGGAAAACCCGAGGTTCAGTACGTACATGAGGGTGCATTTTAGATGAAATTTGGTAGATAAAAAGGATTGTATGGAAAGAACACATGAGAGATTATTCATAACTTATTTATCAAGATTAATTTTTAGGCTTTCTAATTTGTTCGTTTTACATTTTCGTAGGCTTGTAGCTTATAATTTTAAAAACTTTAATTGTCGCTTTCAAAATAAAAAATAAAAAAATAAAAAATCTCTGTTTTTTGTTACTATTAAGTTTAAATTTTTAGTTTTGAAAATATATTGTAACTTAGATAAATACAATTATATTTTTGTATATTATTACTATATTACTAGCCAATATTATTTGTAGCCCTAATTAAAATGTTAAATACTTGTAACTCTTACATAATTATGGTATTAATATTATTAATAAGGAAGGTATAATTTGCTATTTCATAACAGGTTAAAATGGAGGAGAGACACTTGATTCTACTTTAATTCCATTTTCAAATATACTGGTAAGTGTAGTGTACGTATAAACTATATATGGTATTTCATCTTATTCTTTACCATATAGTTATTATTTTGGGCAATTAAAAAATATATTGTCCATATTCTCGTGCACATTTTAGGAGAAATCAATATGATTTTTATAGGGTTCGATCTTGAAGCTGTGGTGGTAACTGTACGAAGGTTGTGCGACTCTAAATGCCAACATTTCTTATCTCTTATTTCTTTATTTAATTTATTGTTGATTATGTTTATCATATTATTGTTTAATTTCCGCTATACATGTTTAGTTATAATATCTATACAAAAATCCCAGCAATAATTATATCAGCTTATTTTTTTCTTGGTTAGTTTTACAATTCATCTTTATTTATTATTATTATTTTTTTTTTAGGGTGAACTTCTACCACTTTAAGAAAGAATATACATAGGAAGGGGTTGGAATACCGAATCAAAATACGAACTATTGAGATACACTCCACGAACCTTACCCATATTGGCGAAGCAAAAGCTACATGCGAAGGGGTTTTAGAGGCTCGTCCCAAGTAGACGAACTTATCCCCATCAGGGCTAGCAAAAACTACTATCCAAATGCAAAGAAAATGTTTAACGCGCGACTACGGGCTACTAATACAAAAACACGTAGGCTAACAAATAAAATATGATATTCATAACAAAATCGATTACAAGGCAACCAATAGGGATCCGACATCAATTGTATTCCCTAAAAAGACTAAATTACCTCCAAAGCCTGAGAAAAGTCCATATATACCCCTATTTTTTAATAATAACGCATACAATTCAAATATTTCCCTCACAAATAACTATTTCCCCTCTTACTTCAAGTTTGAGTATCGAAACGAGTAAGTTTAGAAGGAGAAAATCATAGTTAAGTGAGAAAATTTATTAAAATCATAGTTAAGTGAGAAAATCACAGTTAAGGAGAAAATACAACGTAGAATTTTTTTTGCCACTTGGGCGAATGAAATTTAGATAGATGATGAGCATGGGTTTGGTTGCGTTGATCGATTTTAGCTTTCAAAGATTCAAAAAAATCACATGAGATATCCTCCTCCTCATCGTAGTCCTTGAAAAAACTAAGTGCCTAATTGCAAGCCTCATCACCACCATAATAAATGCCTTGACATTAAAAGACATAATGGCCAACACTAGAAGGTACCATGTTGCAAAGTTGGCTTCGAATAAAATCGCTCCAAAAAAATCTCAATGTAGCCCATTTGTTGCATCAGTCGATGAACTTCGAGAAGTATATAGACAATGGAGGGCCACCAACCCATTGGACCATGGCAGAGATTTTTGGGTTTCAACAGAATGGAGCTTGAAGTGAATGCAATAGTCCTTCATGTACCAATAGAAAATGGGGACGAGGAAACATTGGTGTGTAAATCGGAGGTGGGTGGCGAGAGGCAAGAAAAGAGAGATTACAGAAATTCTGAATCGATAGTGGTGATGTCATGATCGCATTAGTGGAGGTGTTGTTTGACAGAGCCGGTCTTGGGCCGAGGCGAGTGAGGCCCGCGCCTCAGGCCCAAGACCATAGGGGGCCTCATTTTGGCCCCCATTTTTTTTTTAAAGAGCAAAACCAGCTGCCTGAAAGGGCCTAATTTTGGCCCAAAATTTTTTTTTCCCCTCTTAAGATCAAGGTCAGCGGGCCCAAAGAACCAAAATCAATGAGGGAAAATTAGGCCCAATGACCTCCTAAATGTAACTAAATTGGATTATACCCTTTTAAAACTAATTAAACCAATTCACCCGTAATTAATACGTCCTAAACATAAAACTCAATTTTCATTCACTACAAACCCACCCAATCTTCAATTAGTACAAAAAGACATAAAAACGCCATGCCTCTCTCTGCTCTCCTTCGCGATTTTTCTCATGCCATTTTCTGCAGTTTTCACCTCCGTCCGTTACCGCTGCTTTTGTCTTCATCCATTGTCTCCCCATTCTCCTATTCGTGGTGTACCATAAACACCAGTTTGCGTGGATCGAAATAGCAGAAGCCCTAAGCTTTTTGGATCCAAATTGCCGATTTCATGTCGTGCCCGTCCTTTTTTCGCCTTCTCCTTCTTCTATTCGTTGATATTACTGCAAAAACCCTAATTCACAAATAGAAGAAACCCTAGCTGTTCCGATTTTAACTTTTTCACTCCGAAATCTGACTCCTATTTCTACAATGGTTAGAGAAATTGATTTGAAGAGGAAATGAGATATTGATGGTGAATCATCTTCAAAGAAAAAGAAGAGAAGAACTTATAAACCCAAGGTATTCTACATGTTATAGTTTTTATATACCCATTCTTCTTTTCTGTAATTTTTTAGTTAGTTGTAGGGCCTCTAGCTTGATTTTAGAGTAGGCACCATGATCAGAATAGGTGGCTGAACTGGATCCATCTTGATAAAAAATAAGATACGTGCATAAATATCTATTCCTGCTCGAATTCGGACTAAGTTGGAGATTATACAAGTGAATGAATTTTTCAAGTAATGAATATCAAACATTCCCCCTTAGCTACAAAAGGCTAAAAACCAGTTCCAGTAAGTAATAAGTTGCTGATCAATTTGAGTTATTATGAATTAAAATTACATTTCAATTCATAAGATTGAATTCTATTCATTTACTTCAAAATATAAACTGTATAGGCTCTATGTTTTGTAATTGATTCAATTATGTTTGGAGTAAAAAGTGAAATTGGATTGTTCTTCTTTTGGCTTTTGTATAAAGCTATTATTCTCCAGTACTCAAATCGTATCAACAAATTTAAGATATAGAAACACTTTCTGCTGGGTCTTAGTGAATTCACTTCAGCGTTGTCAATATTCTAGTCCTTTGTGATTTATCTTTTTATTTTTATTTCTTGAAGATCTCATGCATAGCTTCTGCAACCAGTTTTGAGTATATGACAGAATAAAATTATGCTGGATTAGAACTAGTAAAATGCGAGTAGCGGGAGCGATGTGATATGAAATAATGTACAATATTAGCTTTAAGTACTTTCAACTGTCTTATCATAAATTTAGTTGAAGAGTACAAATTATTATTGTCTGTAGACTGGAATATGATGGTAACGATTTCACAAGACACTTGCAAATTAAGCATTTAACTGAATCAATAATTCAATAGTGATGTCATTTTCACTCAAGAATTTGACATCATCTGCAGGGTATTTCAGTGAGCTATATTAAGCATTGATCATGGGCTCTGGAGTTTGGTTCAAGAATATAATGAGCAAAAAGAAAGTGAGAGGTGACAAATCACAAAAATTGACGGTTTGCTACTCTTAAATATTCTTAATTCCCTTAGTCTTGGCAGTCTTAGACATGATATATAATTTTATATAAATTTTTGTTTCAGGCTCGTGAGTTGTGACGAGATCATTCTCAAGGGTGTAATTCCATAATTATCGTCTAAATTCCACTTCTTAGGTAAGCAATGGCTTGCCCTAACTTGTTATTGAAGATATTGGAAATATTTGAAACCTTATCGGCATATATAATTGCAGCCTTGTCGGCTTATATGATTGGTTATTGTGGAATGAACAATTGTACAAGCGCACATAGTAACTGTATTAGAAATTGTAATTGTGTGATGATTGAGATATTTTGTAATTGTTTTTTAGGTTAATCATTGGACATTAGGTACATACTCATACACTATGCCTCCTAAATATGAGTCTGGTACTCAAAAGAGGAAAATGAAACGAAATATAGCGTTTGAAACACATTAGACTCATTTACTATGCCTCTCTTGAATAGTATTCAACTAATTGTTTGAAACACTGTTGGTTTTGATGGTTTATAATATAAATCGTTTCTATAATATATTTGGTTGTTGGTTTAATGTTAGTTTTTTAAGTTAGCAA